ACCCCATCTGGGGAGACTAGCAAGATACCGACTCCGAACCCTTTACTGTTGGAGGAACCGTCTACGCATAGAAGCCACGTCGGTCCCTTATCATCCTTCGAGGACGCTATTCCAGAAGTGGGCGGCCTTTCCGGAACGGGAGGTCCCCCGAAAAATTCTGCTATGAAATCTGTCAATACCTGCCCCTTTATAGCAGTTCAAGGTTTAAAGTGGATGTCTTGTTCTCCCAACTCCACTGGCCACTTGAAAATCCTTCTAGAGAGATTTGTCTTCTTCAAAATGGCCTTTAAGGGCTGATCGGTAAGGACAGTAATCGGGTGTGCCTAGAAATAATGCCTCAGTTTTTGTGCAGTTGTGGCCAGGGATAGAGCAAGTTTCTCCAATGGTAGGTATCTTGTTTTCGCGTCCAGTAGCGCTTTGCTCACGTAATAAACTGGCCTCTGGTGGTGCTCGTGGCTATGAATGAGTACCCCGCTGACGACAAATTCTGATACGGATAAGTACAAGAAGAGCATTTCTCCCAAAACAGGGACAGACAGGGTCGGGAGAACCCTGAGGTATTCCTTGATTTCTGTCAAGGTGTCTTCACACTCCTGGCTCCACGTATCTTTCCCGGCCCCCTTGATGCCCCCAAAGAAGGGTTTGCATTTGTCCGAGGAGCACGAGATAAAATGGTTAAGTGCTGTCAACATCCTTGTGAGCTTCTGGACTTCTCAGACCGTTCAGGGTCTCTGAACGTCCAGGATCGCTTGAATCTGATCCGAGTTAGCTTCGACTCCTCGCCGACTCACCAGATATCCGAGAAATTTACCTGACTCCACTCTGAAAACACACTTTGTGGCGTTTAGCTTCAGCCCATTCCCGGAAGGTGGAAAAGGTATCAGACAAATCTACCAGGTGGTCACAACTTCTTTTACTTTTAACCAACATATCATTGATGTAGACTTCCATGGTGTTGTCGATCTATCTTTTGAACATCTGATTCATCAGCCTCTGGTACATAGCTCCGGCGTTCTTCACCCCAAAGGGCGTGACTTTGTAGCAGTAAACCCCCCTCGGAGTGATAAATGTCGTCTTTTCTTGATCCGGGGGATAGAGAGGGATTTGATGATATCCTGCTCTGGCATCCAAGAAGTTCATACGTTGATACTCGACAGTGGCATCCACCAATTGGTCCATCTTTGGGAGGGGACAGTCGTCCTTGGAACACGCTTTGTTCAGATCAGTGAAGTCTACGCAGATACGTCATTTTTCCCCTTTTTTCTTCGCACAGACCGTGTTAGATAACCACTCTGGGAACTGCACCTCCCGGATGGTATCAGCCTCTAGGAGTTTATCGACTTCCTCGTTCATCGCCCAGGTATGGTCCAACACCATGCGCCGTGGCTTTTGCTTTATTGGCTTGTGTGTCGGGTCAACATGTAGCTTGTGCGTGATTATTTCGGGGTCCACCCCCTTCATTTTCATTGCGTTCCAGGCGAACACGTCTACATTTTGCCTCAAAAAGTTGATCATCTCTTCCTATTTGGCTATAAGCATTGCGGTTCCAATCAGGAAGTATCTCTCTTTTTCACCATCCACTAAGAACACCTTTCGGAGGTCTTCTACCGATCGGTCTGTCGGATCAGTCCGGGGGTCATCCACTCCTGGACACCCGAACTGTGATTGCTATTTTTCTAGGATCTCTTCCGGGGCGCGTCCCTTCTCTTGGGTGGAAACCCCTACTCTTACAGCCGAGTAAAAATAGTTTTTCACGAATGCTTGGTCCCCTCGGATCTCCATTATCCCTTCTGGTGTAGCAAATTTCAATTTCTAGTGATAAGTGGAATGCACCGCTCCCAACGCATGCAACCAAGCTCGCCCCATGACCATAATGTAGGGAGAGTCTGTATCGATCACAACAAACTCTGTGTTGATGGTGAAGGGACCTATGACAATTGACAATGTGATTTTCCCTATGGGTAAGGCAAATGAGTCGTTAAATCCGACGAGGGACGTCCTGACCTTGGTGAGGTCCTTGAGGCCAAAGCCCATCCACTTTAAAGTCTCCGAGTACATCACTTCCGAGGAGCTCCCGGAGTCCACCAACACCCTCTTGATGTCGAACTTGCCTATCTTCAGAGTTATGATTAGGGCGTTGTTATGGGGAGTCACCACACCCGCCAAGTCTACGTCGGAGAAGGTGATATTTGGCTCGCCGATCCTGGCCCTCTTGCTGGGCGGGCCTCCATTGCTCTTGACAACCTTTCTTATAAAGGCTACCCTATTGAGATCGGACTCAATCTCCTTGGATATCGGGCGATCTAGTGGACATATATGGATCATGTCTATGACATTGTCTTACTTCACGGCCAGGGCAGGACCGCGTCTCTCTTCTGACTTGGGTTCGATGTATTTTTTCAAGTAACCGTCCTGGACCAGCCTTTTCAAGAAAGACTTTTATACCCTGTAATTTTCGATGCGATGGCCAAAATTTCGGTGATAGCAACACTTGACCTTTTTATCGCGGGTGGAAGGATCACTCTACATCCTAGGCGGCCACTTGAAGAATAGCTCATACTTGATTTTATGGAGTAACTTGCAGATGGGTTCTTTGAAGACTGTGTGAACACCTTTAAATGACCCCCCTGGAAGGGGTACCAGCCCCTTTCGGTAGGTCTCCCCTGCTTCTTTCTCTTTTCTCCTAGGTGAGAGAGTTCTGTCTTTGCTGCCCCCTATTTTATCTTCAATCCTGGAGTATTTGTTTATCCGGGCCATCAATTCGCCCATATCTACGGGAGTCTTCTTAGTCAAGGATCGGTAGAGGTCTGTGTCCCATGTCAGGCCAAGCCTAAAGGATGTGGTTGTCATGACTTCTGAACACCCCTCTACCTCATTGACCTCCTCCCAATACCAGGTGGCGTACTAGCGAAGGGTTTCCTGTTCCCTCCGCCTGAGCGTCAGTAATGACCCAATGTCTTTTGGCCGCTTGCTCCCCGTAATGAATCGGGCTAGAAACTGCCTCGCCAACTCCTTCTAAGACCCAATGTTGTTGGGAGAAAGAGTCTCGAACCACTTCATCGCGGAATCTCCCAAATTCATGGAGAACACTTGGTAGAGGAGTCGTTGGTCTGAATGATACAGGGACATCATTTGTTTGTATTGTCTAAGGTGAGCTTCGGGATCGGATCGCCCATCATAAGTTTTAAACCTTGGTACGACGAACTTTTTTGGTACCTCCATCCCTCGGATATCCCTAGTAAAAGGGGATTGTATGGCCTCGTCTTCGGCGTCATCTTGGACAGCCTTGCCCCTTCTCCTGGATTCCAGCCGGGCTCTGAGATTAGTCCCCACCTCAGAGGGATGTCTTCAAAGGTTTCCAAGGTCATTGACGAGGCTCCCCTTCTCCGGGCGTCGTGTGGAAAGGGTTGAATCCTCCTCGGACTCATCTCCCTTCCCCCGTGTTGATAGTCCTCGCCAGAGGTCATCCCAGGCCAAAGGTCTTGCCTTCCTGGAATGACTGTCGAGGGGGTGCTTATTGGCTCTTGGGCACTTCGGGACCCTGGAGCTCTCAGCTTTGTTGTTTAAATGATTTCTCAGGTCCTCGGTTTTTACTTCCCGGATGGGGTGTCCGGAAAAACAGAATGACTCCCTCGATCCTTCACCGGAGGCGGCAAATTCATTGAGCCGGCTTAGGACATTCACATTGTCTTTTTCTAACTGTCGTAGTCTATCCCCAAATTTTTCTTCGATCACCTCTGCCAGTTGACAAGCCAAGGGGCGGATCCTCTTGATCTAATGCCCATACTGGTTTGAGGAGTATGCCCCATTGACTGAATAGAAATGTTCCTGTTGTCATCAGCATGATCCCTCCCCCCACCATGACGAGGAGCTTGTAACTCGAGACTTCTTTGTTGTTGACCTTTTCCTTTTTGTCGAGTATTCACCATGGTCACTGTTCTTTTTAGAAATGGAACTAAGAAAACTAGTCGCTTCCCACAGACGGTGTCAGATTGTGCGTGCACAATATAAACACGAGAACAGATCTCTTCCGTGGTGAACACGTGTCCGTCAATCAAGTGGTCGATCTTGCTACTTGGAACAGATTGTGAAGGTTGAAGGTGACCAATGAAGTGATGATGAACTGTTTTTAGGGGTTGCCTGAGCGATCCTGGAAGGCTGAAGGATGTTCCTAGAACAAAGAAAAATAGGTTAGAAGGGCGCCAGAGTATTTTTCAGTGTATCTCCTCCGACGATTAAATCAGTTCTTTGAGAGAGGGAAAGAAAAAAACATCGTATGATGGTTAAGAAAGGGTTTGTTGCGTACCTTTTTTCTGTGTTTGTGAGGACTATTTATACCTTAAAAACTCATCATTGCTGACAGCGTAGCTAGTAGGTAATCATTGGAGGTGGGCAGTGCGCACACTAATTTCTATGCGTAATGTTCTTATTCTTAACTGCTCAGGACCCCGAGCAACTAATGCTCTCTTCTCGGTCTGCTGAACGTTTAATGATCTTTCCTCGGCGGGGGTGTATTAAATGTCCTGGTATTAGGAACATTTATTGTCTTTCACTTCTAGAATCTTCTGTATTAAATGTCTGACCTCCCAAGCCATGTGTCAGCAAGGGCATTCAAGTCTTTTTGTCTCTGATCTGACACAATATGCCACGTGTCCATTCCTCTTTGGTTGAGTCTTCTGCCTTCTTGTGCCTCCTGACACCGTTTGAGTGGAATGATGTCATGATAGCTAGGTTAGCCTAACCTAGGCTAGAAACCCGTCAATCAATAGCCCCTGCAGGAGCAAAAATGCTTCGTAGACAGATATACCTCGGTGCCGAGAGTTCAGTGTCGCTAGGGGCCGATTTACCCGACCTGACCGAGGAATACGTGTCGATCTATGCCACACTGGGGATCTTTGATCCTTGTAAATAGTACTCTCGGGGAAAGGGGGATTATGGACCGACGCGCACGTGTCGTGATCTGATCGGCGAACATCTATTGACGCCGAAGACACGTGTCATCATTTTAGAGTATCTGAAAATGTCCTATCAATTGTCACCGAGAACAAAGAATCAAAATAAAGAAGATTTGAGTTAATCACTACAAAGTGGAGATCAATATAAACATTGGCTTTAGCTCTTGCACAAAAGTTTCGAATACAGAAGTCTGTCAAAAATATGCTAGAAATCTGAGGATAGACAGTCTTGTTATTCCAAAGTTGTCCAATAATGGTTGAACTATTTCTGATTGTCCAAATTGCAGGATAGCTCAAGCTCAACCTGATTGAAAAATCTCCAACTCGGGCACTCCTCTTCGAACCCATTGGATTTAAGATTCGGCAGGCAACCATACACAGCCGATTCTTCTTCTCATCCCATGGTCCTTCCCCAACCAAGGTTGTGTTCGGATGAAAAGATTGGGAATTGGAAAGAGCATCACAGCCATTTGCTGGAAATCTAATCAGAAATCGAAACTTTGGTTCATCCTCAGAACACTGAATTGCGTACAATGATATGAGCCGAGGCAAGAACCCAGTACCCCCACCAAAAGGAGTACAATTTTTCAGAGACTTGAAGTCCCTTACATACTCCAAATAAAAAGCATTATATGGCCTTGAGAGGATCGAACAGATTCTTCTTGGTTGCAAACTAAGTGATTGGGTTTGTGGAATATCAATTCCACCAGGACAACCTTCATCAGAATTTTTGCGTGTTGAACCAGTCGGTGAGAGAGAGAGAGAGAGACAGAGGGTTACCTACGGCTTTGAACATCTTGGGAAGACGTGATTCATGAACATGCTCCTGGGTGGTTTTCTTCTTTGGCAGAGAAGAAAGAAAGAGGAGGGCAGAGGCTAGAGAGGCTCTATAGTTTTTCTGGAAGCGGGGAAAGAGAGAGAGAGAGAGGAAGGTGCGAAGAGAAAGAGAGAGGAAGGGGGTTCTATAGGTATCTGACAGTGGAACGAGGAAGACGGTAAGATTTTGGTCAAAATATTAATTATATGAGTAATATTATATTGATCAAATTTTAGAATTAAATTTAGAATCTAAATAAAATAACTGTTAATTATTTAAAATTTTTATTAAAATTCAAATGACACAACACAAATCAAATCAAAGAAGTCTAAGTTAATTGTCAAGTTTTAAATTTAATCAGTTTAGTATTATTATAATTAAATATTAATTTTGTCTACTAAATAAATGACTGCTGATTTGAAATATTGATCAGGTTATTAGGTCATTTGGGCTAGCACTGCACAATTTAATTTAAAGATAAGATTGAGAAATATACAATTTAATGATAAGATTGACACCATCGATTAAGTAAAACACAATTTAGAGGCAAACACCAATCAAACCCAAGGATTAAAACCTCTCCTCCCTTTCCTCAATCCTCACAGGAAAACCACCTTTCATCTTCGCCGTCAAGTGTAACATGAAAACCGGCTCAACCCCTTCCTCCACCACCGGAACCACCCTATACCGCCGCAATACACCAGCAACCATCCTCTTCATCTGCATGAAAGCCATTTCCTTCCCTAAACAAATCCTTGGCCCAGCTTGAAACACTGGATACATATACGGATCCCTAGCCACAAAATTCCACTTTCCGGTGACCGTGTCTCTGTCCAACCACCTCTTGGGACGGAACTCAATCCAGTCAGGTCCCCACAACTTCTCCACCCTCCCCATTGCATAAGGGTGGTAAGTCACAATCATACCCTTCTTCACAACAGTCCCATCTGGAAGAACATCATCTTCCGTAGCTTCTTTCGACTCCAGAGGAACCGGTGGGTACAGTCTCATGCTTTCACAGAGTGAAGCATGAGTATAAACCATGTCTTTCACTTCATCATAAACTGGCGCTTCTGATTTCTCTCCGATCTCTCTAAGAATCTCATGTTCGACATCTGGGTGGTTGTGAAGCAACCAGAAAAACCATGTCAAAGCCGCCGATGTAGTGTCACGGCCCGCCAATATAAAGCTTATGACAATATCGGTGACAAAAGTTTCACCGGAGTGACCAGAACTCAAGAATCTTGATAAAAGATCAACCGAATCGAGTGATGATTTTTCTTCGAGTTTTTGTTTCTTCTCTTTGATAATTTCTTTAGCAAATTCACGAACTTCGTTTACCGCAATTCTAAGTCTCTTTTCAGATCCGATGTTGAAGAACCGTTTGATTTTCCAGATTAAAGGAAGAAGTGATCCGAGTCTCTCACTACTGATCTGAGACGCTTCATCAAAAGCAACGGCGACCTTCGACTGGGGAAGAGATGGTAACAAATAAGCAGGATCGTACCCGAAAGCAATCATGCATATGTTGTCGAAAGCAAATCTTTGGAGTATGTCTTCAAAATCAAGCACAGTTTTGTTAGCAGCGGCGAGGGAGAGGATCGGAATGAGGCGATCGGAGAGCTCAGTACCGACAACAGTCTCGACAAATTTACGAAGAGACTTTGTGTTGAATTCATGGCTTGCGACTTGTCTCTGAAACTTCCAGGTGTCGTCGTTGACGTTAAAGATACCGTCGCCGAGGAAGTCCTTGAGAGATATTCGATAGTTTTCGCCTTTCTTGTAGACATGGAAATGGGTCTTGAGGATGTGCTGGACATTGGAGGGGTTTGCAGTGAAGACTTGGCGCTTACCAAAAGTTTCGTGGAGGACGAAGGTGGAAGTGGGTGTGCTTGTAACTACGTCTGTGATCCATTGGATTTCCCTGTCTTTGTTCGCCAAGATTGCAAAATATGATCCGATCACTGGGTATGATTTGGGGAGACTGGTGGAGTACTGGGATGAGAAGAAACTTTTGAAAATGGAGTTCCAGTTGATGAAGAAGAAGAACAGTAATGAAAGAAGGCAGAAGAGGAATGAAGTTGAGAGGTCAAGATCTACCATGGCTGAAACGTTGTTCAACTGTGGAACCTTTTGATTGATGTTTGTATATGGATCGATTGTGTAGATCTTGGAAGATGATGTGGGTATTTATTGAGATTTAAGAAAATTTTGGGTTTATTTAATTCTAGAATCTCCCCATGGTTGTTTGTAGTCCTAATAATGTTCCATAATATAAAATAAATAAAGGGTAATATTACGTGGATTTAAAAATTAGATTTGATAATTTTAATTATTAATTTTATTATGAATTTTAATCTTTATTAGAATTTATTGTCTATTCAATAGTTAAGAATATCATATTTAATTTTTAAACTTATTTTTTAAATTTATGTAAGATTATTCGTAAATAAACAATATTACCTCCGTTGATTCCTTGTTAAAGTGATAAAAGTACACGCGTGGAGTGATAGAAGCCACTTTACATACGACAAGAGAGGAGTACAAAGTTGTCAAAACCTATGACGCATGTACAGGAAATCCCGGAAATTTCAGCCTTTTCAATTGGGTAAGGCTGTATAGACTTAAAATTTTATTTATTTTTTCAATTATATAATTTTATTTTAATTTAATTAATATATGAATTAAGAGTCACATTCATATACTTTTTTTTTTTATTAGAAGATAACTACAACACTTATTTAAGTATAAGGCTGCATCATCTGTACACTCCCCCCCCCCCTTCCCAAAAAAAAACTATCCGATGTTCATTCATATACTTGAAGTTTGCTTCTACTTGAACTCGTGCCCGAGCAACTAAGTTGTCTTCTTATCTTATTTGGGGTTTGCCTTCAGTTCATTAAAATTTCAACCTTCAAAACAAAAGGGAATTTTCCTAAAATTTTGTTGGAGTTGTCTATAGTATCAAAAAAAAAAAATTAGTATAATCCCTTAATTTATTATATTTATAGATATTTTTATCACTATTGTTAATGTTTTATCATTGTAACCGTTCCGAAAAAAGTGATAAAAATAATTACTATAACAACAATAAAAATATCCACAAATATATATATAAATGTGATAAATCACTCATAAAAGTGATAATTTTTTTGGTATTAAAAAAAGTGATAAATATAATTATCACAACAATGATAAAAATATTTACAACAGCGATTAAAATACTTACAAAAGTAATAAATTTTTTAATTATAAAATAATTTATAAATATTATAAAAATATGTATTTAAATAATAAATCTTAGAGGTAAGATAATAATTTCTTTTATCGGTACACCGTAGCTAAATCTAATTTTATAAAGTCTGCATTGTCAGGTCAGCTTCAGGTTGCTTGGTGGCATAGGATTTTTCTGAGTAAATGGTATATATTTTTTCCTCAATGGGTTTTCTGACCTTTGAAAAAACTTGATCAATCAAGAGACCTGCAACGTAAATTTCCACCACATTTTTCATTGGATTAGAGCTGCATACATGAGAGAATGGTTTTTCAAGTAATTCGTAAATAAAATATTTTCCAACGGATAAATGGGAAATCACTGTTGTTCACAGTTATGCTCCGTTCGGTATTATAAAAAAAAAAATGAAAAGAGAAAAAGTTTGAAGGATGAAAAATTATAGAGATAAATAAAATATCATATTTGGTAAGGAAGGAAAATAGGAACGATGAAAAAATGGATGAATTAACTTTTCTTCTAACTCACTAAATTCAATCCCTCTAAAATCGGAAAAAAAATTGATGAAAAATTAATTATTTGTGTTGAGATGTATTTTATTTGTCTATATGTTATGTATACATTAATTTCATATAAAAATAATATATATATATATACCTTTTTAAAAAAATTAAAATTTAAAAAATATTCTTTTATCTTAATTAGAGGTGACAATTTTTGATTTAAAACGATGACACGATTAGAACTCAACATGAATTTTATAACACGAACTTGAAAATAACCTGACACGTGAACAAAAAATATAAAAGGCTTATAATTTTATGAATCAACATCAATTTGACATGACACGACTCAATTGTCATCCCTAATATTAGACAAAAAATAAAAATAAAAAAAATTAGTCATTTTTATTTCTCATCCATCCAATCAAACACAAAAGAAAGAAAGTGTATCATTCTTATTTTTTATTCTTAAATAATACAAAATGTATCTCTCCAACTTTCCATACTAAACAGAGCATTAAAGTTTGGATCAGAATAATAGAACTATCGTCATCAGTGACGTTGTCACATAATGGTGCAAGACCCAGTGCCTTTCCAATTAAGAAGCCTGCGTGGAGACAAAAAACTATTCTTTCCATAATACTATTACTAACATTAATTTTTTAGAATTTTTTAGGAATACAAGTGTTTAACGAGTCGAGACTTTTCAATTGCATGTGTAGGTGGAAGGTTGGATCGTAGCTCGAGGTAGTTTAACCTTTTGAACGTACCTTTGCTGCTTGTTTACCCAACTGTTAATTCCGTCTGTTGTTATTATTGAATTGATGAATTACCCAATCCGATATTACAATCTACTCGCAACAATAATAAAATTATGTGAACATATCACCATAGTTTGATAATCCACTCCACGAATGCACACTCAAATACTTATCACAAATAATCAAAAGTAATGATATGAAGATTAAACTTATATACAAAACAAGTCTGCTGCACGATAAAGAAATCAGTTGACAAGAAGAGCAGACTGACTGATCTGCTACATAAGTAGCCAGATCAGTCAGGGCTTTTCAACCATTATCAAATGAGCTTGGTTTACCTGAAACAACTCATCTTATAGTGGAGGAAGGGACAGAAGACAAACTACACCACCAGATCTTATCCAAGGGA